AGACCAAGCCGCGCTGCCGCCGCCGCCGCCGCCGCCGCTGCTTCGGGAAGCTCAGCTCGCAGCCTATTGCCAGAGAGGCCGGTGACGTCAGGCAGCCACCGACAGGGCTCCAAGCCACCCCTCAGGCCCCCACCCCACCCTCATACCCCAACTCCTCGTCTTGGCGGAGCGAGCCTCCGCCACACAGGTTCCCCGTCCCCTGCTGTTCCCCTGCAGGGGCCTGAGGGGCGTAGCCTCTACCCTGTGAGCAGCCCACCTTCCGCACTCCTATGCCCAGGAAGGGCTGAAGCTTCAGTTCTCTGGCTGCCGGATTCCTCACGCTCAGCCCATTCCCACGTGGTCCCAAGAACACATTTTCACGCTCTAGAGATCCACCTGCCCTCGGGGCACACAATGGGCTTCCTCCCTCTGCTGACGAGGATCTCCTCCCTCTCCAATCTTGCCTGTGCCGGCCTGGCTCTGAACAGAAAGTGCGTGCGTGAGAGAGAGAGATTTCCGAACACAGCCGTGGGGGACCTGAAATACAAACCTGAACGTATATTTAACATCAAGCAATCCAAATGAACTCTTTCCCCTCCATCGGAGTCTCCAACTTATTTTCACTCCATCCGACTCACTATCCTCCTCTCGTCTCACGCGCACACATCTCCAGGCCCAAGACTTATTCAGTGTATAAAGGCCCCTTCTATTCTGACAATCCAGACCCTTTTGAGCACACAAAGCACACAAAAGGCTTAGAAGGCAGGAAGAGGAAAATCACTCAGAGGAGAGCAGAGATGAACTGCCCTATGAAAATTCCGAGTGTTGTGCCTCTTACAAAATACCCCTTCATTGACCCTAATACTTGTTAAAGTGCTTGGTGCCTTTGTGCAGAATCAATAGCCTTTCAGCACAATGGACAGAACTTCCTGAAAGATTCTCATCAGCCCATGTAAATCTGGGCAGAAGCTAACCAACTATTGGTTCAGAACCCTTTAGAATAGCGCATTTGGTTACAGTAGCCAATTTCAAAGCAAAGTATTCTCATTTTTCTACTGGAGAAGCCAGCCTGGAACAGCAATTTCAAAGACATTGTATGATCTTTGAAAGCATTCAGGTTTCTTATGAAATGTGCGTTTCCTTCTTCCCTTCTTGTTTAAGTTCAACACAATGTCTGTACAATCCTCACTTGCTAAATTGAATCCTGCAGACACACTGTTTTCCTGTTATGGGTCGGAATTGAGAGAGAAGAGGAATGCCTGATGCCCACCTATCTGCTTGCATTTGCATGCCGAAGGTTTTGTAAGGAGGAGGATTTGACATGGGGTGGGGGGTGGGGGGTAAAAGGCTGTTTGTCTGTAATCTGTGTGTCCATTCTTCTGAGTCTGTGTTCCTATCTAGTCCTACTTCAACTTCTTTCTCTATCCTTGCCCATGTCTTATATAGAGAGAAAGAAATACATTTTCCCCAGAAATTCTGTTTTGATTTATTCAAATAAAAGTATCAGCTTTTTCTTCATAATTGTTTCAATTAAAACAAAAATTATCTCTACTTAAGCTAATAGTGGAGTACACGCTGAATAATGCATGGTTTCTTGGGAGCACAGATTGCCAGAGTTACACGGTTAGTGATGGCCAGTGACCCCAATGCTGGCTTAGCTCTCCTGCCTGGCATGAGGGTACCTATTGCCCTGCAAAAGCCACCTGCCACATTTGGGCAGTCTGATTTTGATAGGCTCAAGGTATAGAATGGTGAGCTTTGTTTTCACCATGATCAGTAAGTGAGACTACACCAATGACGCTTGACATACAATGCCCATTTTTGCACATTTTCTTTGCCCCTGAAAAGTTAAGTCTAATCAAAATTTTGTAAAGCAAATCCAATTTTGAATACTCCAAAAAGAGATCTGGCTATTTAAAGAGTCTCTTTAGAAAAAAAAAAACTGTCTTGTAAAGCAAAGAATCTTTACATAATTAGAATTAACTCTCACTGGTCTATCTGTTTTCTAGACTTAGAAGAGTGAGTTATCAGGTTTTCCCAGTGAGCAATGAACATACCTTTAAAATATGTTGTAAAGGGAATATAATATGTATGTTATGGGATTCCTTTTGCACACTGAGCTTCTAGGACATGTGATTAGGCTCCCATTTTATTCTTTTGTTATAAATGATAACCATCTGTTATATCAGGAGTGCTAAAAGTATCTGCACCATTTTACACAACTCTTGAAAAAACAAAGTCTTGCCTTAGGAAATTTACAGTGTACAGCCGATGAATGTGATCCACAAGACAATGGTATTTAACTGGAAGTGATTGATGTAGATTAAAGGCACCAACTTTCAGGTCAAAGCCCAGCACACATTTTTTTTCCTTTCTCTTTCAAGAAGAATAATCTGTGGGTTCATAATTTGTTTTTACCCAGAGAATAAATGTGCTAGATAGATAGACATGGATGTCACTGGGTGGTATGAGTCAAGCCCCAAGAATACCACCAGCAACAAACAGGCACACCTCATGGACTGCAGGAGTTGATCTCACTGAACTGCTATATGATTTTGGCACAATAGCAAGACTTCTTCCAGACAGCAGGTTGCCACTGTTTTTGCCACCAAACTTCTCAGGCCACATTTCCAAGACTGGAGGACCAAGAAGCCTTGAGATTCCCATAATCTTGTCTTGTGATGGGAAAGCCCCTTTGGACTCTAGCACATTCCAAGTATTCAGCAACATATAACATTGCTCTCAAATCTGATGGGGAATTTCCATCTTGCTTAGAGAAAAGTGCCACATGAGCACCTAGCACTTCAATCCAAAAAAGGACTGAATCAATAACAAAACAACAAAATAAGAAATTCTATTATGATGATGATGATTTGCAAAACACCTACTATGTACCAGGCTGTACTAAACACTCCCTATAATAGCATTAAATCTCAATGTAACCCTGCAAGATTTTTTTTTGCCAAAATAGGAAATTATGTATTTATTAATTCATTCACTTATTTGCTCAATGAAAATCTTTGAGTACCTGCTATATGTCAGGTGAGGAAACTAAAGCTCAGAGTAGCTAAAGACCACACCCAAGTCACTTACTAGTAAGTATAGTACTGGGATCAAACCCAGGAAGACTGATTTCAAAGTTAGTATTCTTTTCATGATCAGTGGTCTCTCTCTCTGCTCCTTCACACACATACGAACACACACACACACACATCCCCCACACACATATCTCTGTCTATCTCTATTACAGTTTTATCTTTATCTCTATCTACCTTCAGTTGAGGAAGTTTAAGCAAGTAAAACTGAAGGAAAGCAGAGCTGTTGATCAAAACAGAGGAGGGGAGATGGGAAGCCTCACCACGGGGTCCGCCCTTCTCCTCAGCAGCAGCCCACAGGATGCTCCGCACAGCCCCTTGGGATGGGCAGAGTCCACTCTGAAAACACTTTCACTGCTCTCAGTCACCTAGGCAGGTCATTCCAGATCACAGTGCAGCGTGATACATACGAGGCTCATTTTAGATTTACAGGAAATTTTCTAGAGGATGTTCAGTGGATCCTGACCTGAATCACACATCTTGACTACTCTGGGTCCCTGCATGCCTACAGAG